ATAGCTGTGAGAAGTGACTGAGAGCTTCTATCATTAACATATAAAGAGCCGTTACAAATCAACAAGAAAAAGCCCAGCAACCAATGGAGAAGGAGAGGAAAACACAGCAAGAAAGGTAAACGGCTTCGACACGGAATGTCGGTGCTTTTGGAGACAATCTGCTCCCATAGCAACAAGACGCTGGGTCCCCAGAGCTGCTTGTTCCGGGGACAAATGGTGGCTGGTGACTGTCATTTCAGTCTCACCTGCTGCTCCGCTCCCGGTAGACAACAGGCACCTCTGGAAGCCGAGCAAAGAAGAGCCACCTCACGAGACTGGCAAAACCCAGATGGGTCCCAGTGGTGGAGCAAATCTGTGCAGCCGGGAGGAGGAGGCCAGACCCTCCTTGCGAGGGGAGTGTGGCAGGAAAGTGGCGGCTTCCCGCCAGCTTTGGGGACCGCCACACCCACGGCCTAGCACAACCACGGCCTAGCACAACCACGGGGCGGCTCCAGAGCAGAAACCCCCTTCCATCTTCTCATCACGCACGCCCATGCCGCTCCGCGGTCCCCGACTTCGGCGTCCAGGTCTTCTCACGTCCCTTCCTCCGGCCTCTCCAGAGTTCTTTCATCCCGCTCCCTGGCCAACCCGGCTCTCCGCCCTTCTTCCCCCGACAGGCCGCCAGTCAGTCGGGGAATTGCCGGGCCCTGCGCAAAGCCTTTGGGACACCCCCTCCCGCCTGGCCTGCAGACGGCACCCCCACATGTGCGCCCCCAGTCAGGGGAGCGGTGGCCCCCCGGAAGGCCCCTTGTCTCTGCCAGGTCCCACCCCGTCCTTGTCTTTCCCAGAGCCCGTGCGTAGCCCGAGGCGGAGCCGCCCCGGCTGGGGCAGGGGCACACCCTAGCGCAGAGCTTCTCAACGTGCCAGCGACCGCAGCAGCATCCCTTGTCCCCGTCCCCCGGAGCTTGTCAGAGTGGCCGATTCTCAGGCACCTGCAAGATCAGAGCCTCTGGGATGGGGCCCGGCTCCGTGCGATGCACCCTCCAGCGTGAGAGCCACTGGGACGGACGCGTGGTCCTCCTCACAGCGCTGCCCGGGCAGCGACAAACTTTCTCTGGTGGAAGTCAGGCCAGGCCTCGACACGGCCGGCTGACGGCCCGATCTCGCGGCAGTCCTCCAGGTCAGGTGGGGTCCTCGGGGGTCCCTCCCTCCCTTGCCGGCCGGCGTGGGGAAGACTGTTGGCTCACTGCCGTCCCCCTCCCAGAAGTGTGGACGGACACCTCGCTCACGGGTCACTCGGTCACCAGCTCTCCCCGCGTCTCCTGGGACACTACCCTTGTGTGCCGGGCGTGCGTGTGCGTGCTGGGGGGCACAGACCCGTGGTTCACCGCCAACCCTGCCAGAGACCCGCTCAGGAGCCCCTAACACAGCGGAGGAGGCCGGGCTGCGGGCGCCACCTCGGGCCCTGCAGGTTAGGAGCGCGCAGGCAGGCGGCGCAAGGGAGCGGTCACAGCCGGGCGCGGCGGACGCGGCTGCCGGCTCCGCTGCCGTCCGCCTGGGGTCGCCCGCCCTCCTCCCCCCTCTCGGAATCGCTCGGGGGCGGCGGCGCCAAGTCTCTCTCCCGGGCCGTCTACATTAGCGGAGGGGGCGGGCCCGACGGGGGTCCAGCGCTTCTGCTCGGGCCTTCTCTTGGGGCCGGCAACGGGGAGACGGCGCGCGGCTCACAGCCCGGCTTGGTCCGGACTCCGGCCTCGACGGGAGGCGGGCCTCGCGCGTCCGGGTCTACCCCGGAAGGCGGGCGGAGGCGAGAATACGGCTAGTCCCCGCCCCACGAGCGCCGGGAGGGGGCGGGGTGTGTTCTGGGCCCGCCTCCTCTGGGAAATCGCGCGCGGCCGCCCAGAGCCCACCCAGGGGAACGTTCCCTCTATGAACTCTAAGAACATAGGCCTTTCACAATTAAAGCCCAGCCTAAGGAGAAAGTTCTATCCGCAAGGCCTGGGGGAAACGGGTTTCTAGTGCCCATGTGGCGAGGCCCCGTTCGTCCGCCGACCGCCCGCTCCTTCCCATACCCAGCCGCCTCGGCGCTTTGCGCATGTGCCGCAGCGGGCACGCAGGCGCAGAGCGCCGCTGTGTCTATGGTCGCGACGTCGTGAGAGAGCGTCCCCACGCCCTCCTCCGGACTCTATGGTTCTCGCGCAGGAAGATGGGCGGACTATATAAGTCGTGCGCAGGCGTGGGAGCTTCTCTTTGCCTTCGGCGCGGTGAGTAATCTGTTTTCTGGGTGCTTGCTGCGCCCTTGCTGTCCCCTTCCCGTGGTTTGCGGCCTGTCCTCGTGTCCTATTCCGACTTTTTCTATTTCGTTGCAGCCTCAAAGATCCTGGTGTCGCCATGGGCCGCCGCCCCGCCCGGTGGTGAGTGCCGAATCCGCGCGATTTCTCTAGCTGGGGAGAGAACTGTACTTGGCCGCTGGAAAACAGCCCTTGGGTGGAGTCTCCCTAGCGCGAATGGCTCGCGCTAGAAACGAACCCCACGTTTTCCCCAGTACCTATCACGTCTTTTGGTCTTCGTTTATGCTAAACGCTTCTTTCACGTTCAAACTTCTGGCCGCTCTTGAGCGCTTCCCCCGTTTAGTTGTTGGGGTGGGGGATAGGCAGGCCATCGGCTGCATGTGCCGCACGAACCTGGGCCTGGGAACGAAGTCCGCCGTGCTTGTTCTCTGCCCTTCGGATTCGCAGCCTTTTTGAGCTCGAGGTCTCCGAGCCTTTGTGTGCAATCCCCTTGTTTCCGGGCGTCGTGCCGTGCGGTCTTCTCGGACCGACGCCAAGGGCGGCTCAGGATAATCCTGCGCACCCGCCTCCTGGCCCCTGCAGGGGGCGCCGCCGCGGTCACTTCACGTGGCTCAGGGTCCGATTTACTGCCACGTGCCCGAAAATATTTTGGTAGATAGCATCAACTGGGCAAGTAGTGTGCAGCTTATTTGTAGTGCTGGGTACATCAAAGAGAGGGAAGATGATTTTTCTTGGTTTTACGGTGGGAAAGTCTGTAAAAGTTTGGTAGGAAGCTTTAATCCCAGTAGTGAGTAAGAGGCATCGCTGCTTTTGTTTTTCTAACATGGGTGCCTTGTGCGTTGTGGCCGTGAGGTTTTGGTCACCTCTTGATATATAAGTACCTCTGGGTTTGCAGCCCTCCTTTGACCTTTTCCTCCGGGGGCTCTGGAAGGGCCTGCCCACTGGTGAACAGCACCTTCCAACCTGGGTTTCCCCCCCTCCTTGCAGTTACCGGTATTGTAAGAACAAGCCGTACCCCAAGTCCCGCTTCTGCCGAGGTGTCCCTGGTAAGTAGTCAGAGAGCTCGCAGACTGGTTTGGCCATGGTAACTGAGCCGTCCACGGCACCCCTCACACTTATGTGGCCTTTTCCAGATGCCAAGATACGCATCTTTGACCTGGGTCGGAAGAAGGCAAAAGTGGATGAGTTCCCACTCTGTGGCCACATGGTGTCTGACGAATACGAGCAGCTCTCCTCAGAAGGTGAGGCAGGATTCTTTGGTAATCCCAACCCATCTGCGTTAGAACTAATTCAGCAAGCACACTGCCCCCTGATACGACCTGGGGCTCACTGGAGGGCCGGGCCCTCACCCAGGCAACACGGACATCACCTGGCTTACACCTGGGGGTGCGGTGGTGAGTGTCTCTGTGCGATCTTATCTCTTTCCCTCTGCATAGCCCTGGAGGCCGCCCGTATTTGCGCTAACAAGTACATGGTGAAAAGTTGTGGCAAAGACGGCTTTCACATCCGAGTGCGGCTCCATCCCTTCCATGTCATCCGCATCAACAAGATGTTGTCCTGTGCTGGGGCTGACAGGTGAGCTGGGGTCTGGACCTGTGCAGCTCCTGTTCCTAGGGGGATGGCCCATTGGCCTTTGTAACGCAATGGTCTTGTATGATGGGCCTAGAGTCAGAGTGTAGAGGTACCCCTCATGGGCCAAATAACCTGTAGGCAGCTGATGGCAAAGCCAGGAAGAGGGCTAGTGCACGGATTTCAATGGTGTACCCCCACCACCCACCTCCAGACTTCATCATAGGTCAACAACTGACTCCTGAAGACAGGGTCAAGGCGTGATTTAGCCTTAGCAGCCTTTGGGGGAGACAAGCGGAGGGGGTGGGGTTTCTGAAGAAAAAAAAAAAAAAACAAAAAACAGCTCTTGTTTCTCTAAGCCTCGTCACAACCATCAAATTAGCAGGGAAGGTTGCAGGCTGGGGTGCGCTCTCATTGGCCCGATGTACCTCACAGGGTCTCTTCTTAGCTCATTTGGGGGTACTTTGTTCTCTGCAGCCAATTAAGCCGACTGTCCTCCTTCCCTGTGGGGGCCAGTGTGCAATGGCTGCAAACAGCAGCTTCCTCGGTAGTGTACGCGACCTGTTGCACGTACGGGTTGCCCTAAGGGACCTTGGAGACAGCCCTTTCCTGCTTTTTCATGTCCCTGACCTTGCTAATCTCTGCTGTCCCTGTTCTAGGCTCCAGACAGGTATGCGAGGTGCCTTTGGAAAACCCCAGGGTACAGTGGCCAGGGTCCACATTGGCCAGGTCATCATGTCCATCCGTACCAAGCTCCAAAACAAGGAGCATGTGATCGAGGCCCTACGCAGGGCCAAGTTCAAGTTCCCTGGGCGCCAGAAGGTAAGCAGTGCTCCCGCCCTGCCTTCTCCCCCCCACCCCGCCCCACCGTGTCCCTGGATCCCTGACTCAGTTCTTTGTCTCCCTAGATCCACATCTCCAAGAAGTGGGGTTTTACCAAGTTTAATGCTGATGAATTTGAAGACATGGTAGCTGAAAAGCGCCTCATCCCAGATGGTTGTGGAGTTAAATACATCCCCAATCGTGGCCCCTTGGACAAGTGGCGGGCCCTGCATTCATGAGGGCCTTGGCAGCACTGTCCCGCTTGACCAGTGCCCGCCAGTAATTTGACCTGCCTATCTCTGCCGTTGCCTATCAATAAATTGAACTTCCCATCTGTGTCTGTGGTCTGCATGGGTTTCATGCCTGGGGGTATTTCTAAAGTTTAAATGACCTTCATTTTTTTGACTTCAGAGATGGTCACAAACCACAGATTTAATCACAGAAACAGCCCCAATATTGCTCCAATAGTTTTTACTGAACTCTTCTTTGGAAAATGGGTGGAGAATGAGGGCTGTTCGAGGTCTGCGCCCTCCCCTTTCCCTGGGCGACACAGCTACCTGGAGGCAAGTACAATGTGCAGCCTGCACATTGCAAAGGCTGTGTGATCCCTCTGCGGATCTGGGTGTGCTCTGTGTCCCTGCAGTCTGCCCACGAAGACTGAGACCCCCTACCTGGGGTCATGGGTGTCCCCAGCCCTTTCCCCTGCTTGGGTCACGTGATCCCGGTTTGTTCATTAGTTATTTTTTTTTGGAGTAAACTGTTCATCTCCATCCTTGTATCTGCTGGCATCGTAATATTCCTTTGGCGTTTTAAGTGAGTTCTGTATACAATAGACAGCCCTTCGGCATAGACACCACACACGTGAACGGCGCTTCAGTCTGCTTCTTTGTTCTCAGGACATGTAACTGTCCCTTTTCACAATAAAAAGTTTCCGTTTTTCATAGAATAAAATCCTGTGACCTTTCGTGATTCCCTTTTCTGAGCGCTGCAGGAGTTTAATCAAGACCTGCTTCTGAGCCTCCTCCCCTTCCCCGGTACCCCAGCGCCTGCTCTGTCCCGTCTCCTGACACTACCTGTGGGGAGGCAGATGTGTTTGGCCTCCAGGCCCTTGGCTGCTGCTGCTTCCGCAAGCTCGTACCAGGCACAAACCCAGCCAAAGAAAAGGCAGATGGCACAGGGCTGCGGTCCGGTGGGCGGCACTGGAACCCCTCAGGAGTCACTCCGGCCCCCGGGCGGGGTGGACGGGAGGCTGGGGTTGGCCGCGGTGGGTCAGGCCGTGGGGCCCAGCTGAGGGAGCAGGAGTGGCAGTAGCAGCGGGGGCAGCAGCAGAGCCACCAGGCTAAGGGGCTGGCCCCCTGGTGCCGCCCGGTTCAGCTCCACCTCCACAGGGTAGTGGTCGCTGATGTTGAGGGCCTGGGCGTGGGACGGGACAAAGTGTCAGTGCCTCGGCTCGGGCCAGGACTCTCTGCTGCAACCCCCGCCCTTCCCGCCCTCCTGGCCCCCCGCCGTCACTCTGAGCCCGGTGGCTCACCTGCTCCTCGCTGAGCTGGAAGCTCCTGGGGAAGTCAAACGCGTAGGCGGCGCGAAGTAGGCCTTGGCAGTGCCCCCCGTGCAGCACAATGCGGTCGTAGGTGCAGTGGGTGCTGGCCCGCACCGTGGTGTCCTCCCCATCAGCAATCGCCCAGTGGAAGCCATCCTGCGTCCGCAGCACCAGCTCGCTCAGCCGCTTTTTGGTCAGCGAACCGCAGTCAGCATTGAAGTCCCCGAGCAGGATCACGTCCTGAAGACAGGGCAGGGAGTTGGGCCCGGCTACTGGCCACCCCATCCCCAGGCCTCCTGAGTCAGCACCCCAGCCCTACCTCACTCTGCCAACGCTGGGAGGCGTCCAGAAACACATCATACAGGGCATTGAGCTCCTTCTCCACGGCCTTCGGGGTGGTGTGCAGCGGGACCAGCGCCAGGCTGGGCAGGACTGCAAGGGGCCGCGTGAGGGAGGGCTCCACCCACTCCTGGCCCTCCAGCCCCAAGCCTTCTCCAGGGAGCAAGCCCCGGGGCCAGCAGCCAGACTCCCCTCCCCTCACGCACACCAGGCCACCCTCCTCCCCTCCTACCCTTGCTAGGCAGCGTGAACCGGGCCACAAACGGCTCCCGTACAAAGAGGTCGTCCTGATCGCTGTACACATACGACTCCAGGACCTGTGTCCTGTGTGACCTGTGAGGGGCAAGGGATGGTTTCCAAGTGCAAACACCAGCAGGTGCTCCGGGAGGGGGCCCATGGCCATGACCAGGGGCCCAGAGGGAGACCAGCCTGGTTCCCACGGTTCATGGGGGCACAGCTTTCCCAGCCTTTTTTCTAGAACTATTTTTTTATTGAGCTACAATGCACATACCATAACGTCCCGTTTAAAGTGTACAATTGAATGGTTTTTGGTATATTCACAAAGTTGCAAACAATAATCTGCTTTCTGTCTCTATGGATTTGCCTATTCTAAATATTTCATATAAATACGTGGCCTCTGTGTGTGACTTATTTCGCTCAGCGTCATGTTTTCACGGTTCATCCACAGTGTAGCACGTATCAGAACTTCATTTCTCTTTCCGGCTGAGTAATACTCCATTGTATGGAGAGACCACATTGTGTTTATCCAGTCATCTGTTGATGGACACTTGGGTTTCTTTCACCTTTTGGCTATCGCGAACAATGCTTGCAATGAACATTTGTGGACACGAACTCATTTCTTTTGGGTTCTCCGTTATTTTGAAGCGACTCCCAGATACCCTAGAATTTTATATACATAGAGAAGCAGGTCTCCTTCCTGACAGCTCCCAGGCCTCTCTTGATCCTGACCTCAAAGAGTCATCCCCAGCTTATCCCCCAGGGACTTAGGGCTGTTTCCAGAAGGCAGGACGCAAGATTGGTCACACACAGAGGAGGTCAGCCATGCCCTGAGCCATGGAGGCTTCCAACAGAGATAGAGAGTGGGCGCCCACACCTGTGTATGAAGCGGCAAGGACTCCTGCAGTGGGGACACGCGGGCACCCAGGCTGCCTGGGGAGGGGAGGAGAGAGCCCTGGCCAGTCCCGTGCTCACCGGTAGATGTACACATACTTCTCCATGTATGTGCTGCGCCCCAGCAGGGGGCTGCTCAAGGAGCTGTAGGGCCCGGAGTCATCATACCTGCAGGAGAGGGGGAACCCAGGGTCAGGGCCCCTAAAGGCTCCTGGTGGGCCCCAGAATTAGAGCCACAGGGCCCTCCTTACCTGTTGAGCTCCCGAAGCAGGAGAGGAATGGCATTGCCAGAAGAGTCCACCACCTCCTGCAGCACCATGATGTCACAGCGAGCCAGGATCTGCAGGACACCAGGAAGCCCTGCTGCGTTCAGTGCCAGCCACCCCAGCCGGAGGTGGGGGGGGCGGTGCCCTGGGGAGCTGGCACCGGCATGGCCAAGAGTGTCACAGCTTGCTGGCCGAGGCCAACAGAGAGCAGCGTGACTAGAAAGGACCTAAGAGAAGACTGAGAGCCATCGCCACCCATTTTACAGGGGAGGAGACTGAGGCCGATGGGAGGGACAGAACAGGCTCCCAGTCTCCACACTGACTCTGCCCCACTCCACATTCCTGACACCTTTTCTCTGGGACATGCCACCGGTCAGGCCAGCCTGGGGGCTTAGGGACGCTGCTCCGTTCGGCAATGAACTTACCCGCACCAAAGTGTCCATCACGGGCTCCCTGGTCACTTTGGTGAGGGTCAGCCGCTGGGCGTTGAAGGCGCAGATGCGGAAGGCCTCAGCCCCACTGGCCAGGACGAGGAGCAGGAGTGCCGCGGGCCAGGGCATGGCTGCCGGAACCCTCCACGGCGTCCAGGTCGGCCCAGAGTCCGGCATCAGCAGGGCTCCCTCTGGTCCTGGGGGGCCACAGTGATGCGGCAAAGAAAGCGGCCTCCCCCCACACCCTGCCCCAAGGCGCCTGCCTTTCTCTGCAGGTGTGCATGACTTTACGCCTCAGACCAAGCCTGAAACCATGGTGGGCGCTCAGGCTGCTTTCGACTGTCACATCATGCTCGGGCAGAGAGGGCCATTTTTGTCCGGACGTCTCTCCCCCCTTGTGAGATTCTGTCTCTAAGGGAAGCCCCACGCTGGAACTGCTGGGCCTGATCCCACGTACCCCTGCCCTGTGTGCCCCTCCTCCACCCTTTGCCTCGCTCCCTGCCCCCCCTCGCACCCTGTTCGGTCACCGTCCCCCGGACCCTCCTGGCACTCCTGGCGTGCTTTTCTCTCACCGCCTCGTCTCCTCTTCGGCTCACTTTCTGTCTCCCTCACGCTCGCCCTGTCTTCTGTGCCCTCGGTCACTTTGTCCTGCCTACTTCTCCCTGGCCACCTGTTCTCTGTCACTCATGCCCAGCCTGGGTGCCCTGCCTATTATGGTCGTGTTTGGGTGCCCGGGTAGCCGTGTGCTGGCACCGGTAGGTTGGAGGCTCTAGGCCCTGGGCCCCCCACGAGGGGCTCGGGACGAGAAGCTGAGAGAGTGACTCCTCCAGGCTCCAGCTCAAAGCCCAGCCCAGGCTCCCCACACCTAGCCTTGGCCCCAGCCCTGGGCTCCCCCTCCCGTCTTAGCCCCCTCCCCAGGTCAGGGGCAGCTTCCTGCCTCCCTCTGCCCCAAGGGCCCTATACCTGTGCAGACCAGCTCGTCTCCACGCCAGCCTCAGCCTTAAGTGGATCTGCAACACCCCAGGGCATCCAAGAGCCTGCAGGGACAGGAAGAGAGGGAGAAAAGAGGAAGAGGTGGTTCCCATTCACCAGCTGACGGCGGGGTGTGGGGTGGGAGG